TCAATGCGCACTAGGTGGAACGCACGCTGACCTACAAGGAGGAAAGCCATCTTCACATGCCATGAGGCACGCTTAAGCAGCACAGGCGCCGAGCAAAGAGGGGTCGGAACCCGCGGTAATAACGGCTGATGTCAGCGGTGGTTCCCTGGCCTCTCTGGCCTTGCATGGGCAGTACTTATGAAGGACATCTTTTCCTCTCCTATTATCCATTGCGCAGGTGGTGAGTGACTGTTACAGGACACTAGTTATATGGTCCTATGTGATCGATATGACCTATACATCTCATATAGAGTGAAAGCTCCTCCAGTGACTTTCCACATATTGTCTGTTTCACTACAGGATGGGGACATCATGGTGCTTTTCATAGGAAACAGGATATACCACGTGTATCTCAACAGGCAGAAGATCTATTGGGATTTGTCTTGTTTTCCTTACAGAAAGTGGTGTGTAGTCCACATACAGTGGTGAAGAAACCATTTCAAGCAGTGCTCTGCTATTTGCATCTATCCTTCCATCCTGGTAACAAATGGGGCTTATTCTCATTTAAGAGCCCTAGGAAACAGTCGCTTATATTACAGATGAATGGGCCCCAACCATATGTGCCCGGCATAGGAATGTACTGCATTTTATATATGACATTCATTTTTTGTCTCATATAGGCCTAGAGGCATGCTTCTCTTTTTGACGCATACTGTGCTTGCTGCATTGCATACATGTGATATTTTATATCTATAGTATAATTTTTGAAACTCCCTGCTTGGGATATAACCATTTTGGTAGTAGCATATGTCTACATATTTACAACATGTTACATGGTATACCTATGGTATAATTTTTGCATACACCATCAATACATCAGGTATGATCACATTTCAAATATATATACAGGCGTACCTCAGTTTACGAATTTAATGCTTTCTACAGGACTTTTCATATTGCAAAAAATTTGTAAACAGAAACGTAGTTTCCCATAGGAATGCATTGAAAACCAAATAATTTGTTCTGGAGGTCAGAAAAAAGTCCAAAAAAAGTCTTTTATCTGTTCAAAATTCTTTATAAAGTGCATTTTAAAGGCATAAATACTGTACAGGGACATGATTTAAAAAAATTCTTAAATACATTGAAAACCAATTAATCCAATGCGGAGGTCAGAAAAAAGTCAAAAAAAGTCTTATCTGTTCAAAACTCTTTATAAAAGTGCACTTTAAAGGCATAGTACTGTACAGGGACATGATTAAAAAACAATTTGTAAATGCAATGAAAACCAATTAATCTGTTCGTATTATGAAAAAAAATTTGTAAACTAAGGCATTATTTTCAATGGATTTTCATTCGTAAACCGAAAATTACGTTAACCTAGGCATTCGTAAACTGAGGTACGCCTGTATATACCACAGATTGCAGATGCTATACCTTTCACACAGACTAAATAATATACACAGACTTGGGTTATTTTTACTAAAGAAATGTAGCAAAATGCATTTGGCCTAAATTAGTATTGTAAGCTGTTGACAATATCAAACCGCACCTACTTCCCATTTTCTTGCAATAAGCATGTAAAACAGTGGAGGGATTTTAAGGATGCCACATATCCTCAGAGCAATATTGAGGTCATAACAAATTTCTATAAACATATCCATAGAGTTAAAATAACATTTATTTGGTTCTAAAATATGAAATCTTCCTTCAGAGAGGATGAACGTGTACAATGTAATTTACAGGTAGCAATCTACTGATTTTTAACAATCCCAACATATTTCACCCATCTGAGCTTCTTCAGGGGAGATGACTGCTGATTATTCCAAAGCCAAAATGTCTTGTTGGTAGATTATGAAGATAGTTGTACAAATGATGGCAGAGGTTTGGGGTCCACCGAGTGATCACAAAGGGTACACAAGGACCGAGGTAATTTTTTGTATCAGATTCACAAGAGGACGCCCAAGAACAAACACCTGCGGTGATACTAGCTTCAATAGAATTAGTCTCGCAAACATTAACACCCCATTCACATCAGTGCGACTTGGCATGCGATTTGCATGCCCTGCAACTTGCAAATCGCATGCCAAGTCGTACCCTATTGTCCGCAATTGGAGCAGTTCTGACTAGGTCGGAGCAGCACCGATTTCAAAAGTAGTACATACACTACTTTTGGTGTGATTTACATAGACATCTGTATCAGATATCTTGCAAATCGCACCTGAAATCCGCGGGTCCCCCGACTTCACTGTAAGTCGCACGATTTCAAAGTTGGCTTGATGTGAATGGAGGGTAAGGACATCCAGCACCACACAACCCTCATGGCTCTGGCTTTGTCCGGTGTGCTGTTTGCAAGGGGCACCGTCTTGTGAGGATCCTTCTGAGGATATATGGCACCCTTAAAACCCCTCAACTGTTTTACATGCATTGTGGCCTACATTTATAGAGAAAGTTAGTTTATGTTTTAACATTTTGAAACTAAATAAAGAAAAATGTGTTTGTTTTTTCAAAATTTTCACTATATTGTTTGTTTATATAGCAAAAAAAAAAGCAAACTAAAAAAACCCAGAGGTGATTAAATACCACCAAAGGAAAGCTCTATTTGTATGAAAAATTAAACACATTTAATCTGGGTACAGTGCTGCGTGACTGAGTAATTGCCAGTTAAAGTAGCACAGTGCTTAAAAGCCAAAAATGCCCTGGTCATGAAGAGGGGGGGGGGGGTAAAACATTCTGGAGGTCAAGTGGTTACATCAGTGAATTTATCTGCAGGTAATATTAATCAGGTTCTGTGGCTGATTAAGATGGCAATTAAACTCTTTTAGTGCCTTATCTGCATTAAATTAGCCTCAGAATCTGTGTATGCGGCCTCTCGGTGGCTGGGCCTTGACACCTAGAGGCCGCATATTTGCGCACCAAACAAAAAACCACGTGTTGAGAGCGCGAGCCGTGCGCGCTCCTGGCACATTTACCAACGCCTCATGGAAAGGTCTCGTTTGCTACTTGTGATCGGGACCTTTCCCATCATGTGACTGCTGTGACAGCCAATCACAGTGGTCATAAACCCCTTAAAGGTAGAGTTGCCACCTCATCCCTTTAAAAACCGAACGCATATTGATTACACAGGTTCTGTGGCTTATTAACCGCTTTAAATACTGCTACAGGGCAGCAGTGGTGGGCAAAATCACGTATATATACGTGATTTTGCATTTCTGGGTAGGGGGCATGTGCAAGGTGCATGCATGCCCTACCCGCGCCACCTTTCAGGGCTGTCAATCACTGAGTCCTGGCTGGTAATTACTCACAGGTGCCCAGTGATTGCTGAGAATCTCTGATGGGGGGGGGGGGGCTGTTAGTAAACAAAACAGTTCTTTCCCTGTCAGCACCTGCACACTGCTTTGGATGGCTGTGCACAGCACAGCCATGCAAGCAGTGTGCTTACAGTGAAGTGCACACACAGAACATAATGTAAAACAGCACACAGTTAACCCTTTGATCGCCCCTCATGTTAACCCCTTCCTGCCCAGTGCCATTATTACAGTGTCAGTGCTTTTTATTAGCACTGATCACTGTATTGGTGTCACTGGGGATATCAATGACACCAGGTCAGTTCCCCCAGTGTCAGAATGCCCGCTGCAGTCCCGCTATAAGTAACTGATTGCCACCATTACTAGTAAAAATGAAAACATTTTAAAAGCCCAGTATATATACCGCCATTTTGAAATGCTATAACTTTCACATAAACCAATTAATTTACACGTATTGGGATTTTTTTTCAGCAAACATATGTAGCAGAAGACGTTTTGGCCTAAATTTATGACGGAATTAGATTTTTAAATTTTTTTTACTGGACATGTTTAATAGCAAAAAGTCAAAAATATAGCTTTTTCTTGCAGACGATCAAACACCACCGAAAGAAAGCACTATTTGTGGGAAAAAAGGATGTAAATTTAATTTGGGTGCATCAATGCATGACTGCGCAATTGTAAGTTAAAGTAATGCAGCGCCATAATGCAAAGAACGTCCTGGTCAGGAGGGGGGGGGGGGGGGGGTAAATTCTCTGGAAGGCAAGTAGTTAAGGTGGTAATTAAACTCAGTGCCTTATCTGCATTAAATCAGCCACAAAACCTGTGTAATTAATGTGTTCAGATGAGGTGGCAACCCTACCTTTAAAAGGTTTGTGACCCGGTGTGATTGGCTGTCATATTGGGCAGCACAGTGGCTAAATGGTTAGCACTTCTGCCTGGCAGTACTAGAGTTGTTGGTTCAAATCCCAACCACGGCACCACCTGCCTGGAGTTTGCATGTTCTCTCCTGTGTGGGTTTCCTCCCACATCCCAAAGACATGCTGGTAGGTTAATTGGCTCCTGTCTAAATTGGCCCTAGTATGTGTATGTATGAATGTAAGTCAGGGACCTTAGATTGTACACCCCTTTGAGGGTTAGGGACTGATGTAGATGTACAATATATATGTAAAGTGCTGCGTAAATTGACAGCGCTATGTAAGTACCTGACATAAATAAATGGCAGTCACATGGTGGGAAAGGTCTTGATTGTAAGTAGGGATTGTGATCTTAACGTGAGGTGTTGGTAAATTTGTCTGGAGCGCACATGGCTTGTTTGTGTGTGGTTGTTAGATGTGCAAATGTGTGGCCTATCGGCATCAAGGCCCAGCCACCAAGAGGCCACGTATTTGCGTACAGGCAGTGCCAACAGGTTAATACAGGCTTGGTTTTGAGGGGATGAAATGTCAATTCTAATTCACGTCTCTTTATATCTTGTATTCTATGCAGTGGGCATGGCCACACGCTCTGGCATTACATTCTACTTTCCACAATAACGTGACCTCTGTCACTTTGCCATTCAGCCTCCTCATCGCCTTCAGACTTCGCTTATGTAAATGAAGGATCCAATCAGCGTTCAACACATCATATTCCGGCGCCGCCGTGCTCATTGCGTTCCACAGATGAAACGCAGCCTGGAGAGAACGGCTTGGCACTGGGCTGGTGGTCGGTGCTGTCAGCATGGCAGAGTCTGGCAGAAGGAGCAGGTCAGGGCCTAGTGCGGGACAGGCCGCCAGCAGGAGGGAGCTGATCTCCCGGTCTATACAGAGTGCGGAGCAGTGTCTGCGGGATCATGACTATGGCACAGCCTATGCTCACCTTCTTACTGGTCCTCAGCCTGGCCCCGGACATGAAATCACACTTCAAGGTATCCGCAGTATTCATAGGATTTCTAGCATGATTGGATTGTGTGCCTGCGGTCCATGTGTCTGTATGTTAGTCCTCATTCACACTGACACTGTTCTGTATTGGATTGCGTCTGTATGTTAGTCCTCATTCACACTGACATGTTCTGTATTGGTGTCCACGTGTCTGTATGTTAGTCCTCATTCACACTGACACTGTTCTGTATTGGTGTCCACGCGTCTGTATGTTAGTCCTCATTCACACTGACACTGTTCTGTATTTGGTGTCCACGTGTCTGTATGTTAGTCCTCATTCACACTGACACTGTTCTGTATTGGTGTCCACGCGTCTGTATGTTAGTCCTCATTCACACTGACACTGTTCTGTATTGGTGTATTTAGTGTCCACGCTGTCTGTATGTTAGTCCTCATTCACACTGACACTGTTCTGTATTGGTGTCCACGTGTCTGTATGTTAGTCCTCATTCACACTGACACTGTTCTGTATTGGTGTCCACGCGTCTGTATGTTAGTCCTCATTCACACTGACACTGTGTTCTGTATTTTGTGTCCATGTGTCTGTATGTTAGTCCTCATTCACACTGACACTGTTCTGTATTGGTGTCCACGCGTCTGTATGTTAGTCCTCATTCACACTGACACTGTATTTATCCTGTGTCTGTATGTTAGTCCTCATTCACACTGACACTGTTCTGTATTGTGTCCACGTTCTGTATGTTAGTCCTCATTCACACTGACACTGTTCTGTATTGGTGTCCATGCGTCTGTATGTTAGTCCTCATTCACACTGACACTGTTTCTGTATTGGTGTCCACGTGTCTGTATGTTAGTCCTCATTCACACTGACACTGTTCTGTATTGGTGTCCACAGCGCGTCTGTATGTTAGTCCTCATTCACACTGACACTGTTTCTGTATTTTGTCCACGCGTCTGTATGTTAGTCCTCATTCACACTGACACTGTTCTGTATTGGTGTCACGCGTCTGTATGTTAGTCCTCATTCACACTGACACTGTTCTGTATTGGTGTCCACGCGTCTGTATATGTTAGTCCTCATTCACACTGACACTGTTCTGTATTGGTGTATCCACGCGTCTGTATGTTAGTCCTCATTCACACTGACACTGTTCTGTATTGGTGTCCACGCGTCTGTATGTTAGTCCTCATTCACACTGACACTGTTCTGTATATTGTCCACATAAGTCTGTATGTGTCCTCATTCACGCGTCTGTATGTTAGTCCTCATTTCACACTGACACTGTTCTGTATTGGTGTCCACGCGTCTGTATGTTAGTCCTCATTCACACTGACACTGTTCTGTATTGGTGTCCACGCGTCTGTATGTTAGTCCTCATTCACACTGACACTGTTCTGTATTGGTGTCCACATGCGTTCTGTAATTGGTGTCCATGTATGTTAGTCCTCATTCACACTGACACTGTTCTGTATTGGTGTCCACGCGTCTGTATGTTAGTCCTCATTCACACTGACACTGTTCTGTATTGGTGGTGTCCACGCGTCTGTATGTTAGTCCTCATTCACACTGACACTGTTCTGTATTGGTGTCCACGCGTCTGTATGTTAGTCCTCATTCACACTGACACTGTTCTGTATTGGTGTCCACGCGTCTGTATGTTAGTCCTCATTCACACTGACACTGTTCTGTATTGGTGTCCACGTGTCTGTATGTTAGTCCTCATTCACATGACACTGTTCTGTATTGGTGTCCACGCGTCTGTATGTTAGTCCTCATTCACACTGACACTGTGTTCTGTATTGGTGTCCACGCGTCTGTATGTTAGTCCTCATTCACACTGACACTGTTCTGTATTGGTGTCCACGCGTGTCTGTATGTTAGTCCTCATTCACACTGACACTGTGTTCTGTATTGGTGTCCACGTGTCTGTATGTTAGTCCTCATTCACACTGACACTGTTCTGTATTGGTGTCCATGCGTCTGTATGTTAGTCCTCATTCACACTGACACTGTTCTGTATTTGTCCATGTGTCTGTATGTTAAGTCCTCATTCACACTGACACTGTTCTGTATTGGTGTCCATGCGTCTGTATGTTAGTCCTCATTCACACTGACACTGTTCTGTATTGGTGTCCACGCGTCTGTATGTTAGTCCTCATTCACACTGACACTGTGTTCTGTATTGGTGTCCACGCGTCTGTATGTTAGTCCTCATTCACACTGACACTGTGTTCTGTATTGGTGTCCACGCGTCTGTATGTTAGTCCTCATTCACACACTGACACTGTGTTCTGTATTGGTGTCCACGTGTCTGTATGTTAGTCCTCATTCACACTGACACTGTTCTGTATTGGTGTACACGTGTCTGTATGTTAGTCCTCATTCACACTGACCCTGTTCTGTATTGGTGTCCATGTGTCTGTATGTTAGTCCTCATTCACACTGACACTGTTCTGTATTGGTGTCCACGCGTCTGTATGTTAGTCCTCATTCACACTGACACTGTTTCTGTATTGGTGTCCACGCGTCTGTATGTTAGTCCTCATTCACACTGACACTGTTCTGTATTGGTGTCCACGTGTCTGTATGTTAGTCCTCATTCACACTGACACTGTTCTGTATTGGTGTCCATGTGTCTGTATGTTAGTCCTCATTCACACTGACACTGTGTTCTGTATTGGTGTCCACGTGTCTGTATGTTAGTCCTCATTCACACTGACACTGTGTTCTGTATTGGTGTCCATGCGTCTGTATGTTAGTCCTCATTCACACTGACACTGTTCTGTATTGGTGTCCATGTCTGTCTGTATGTTAGTCCTCATTCACACTGACACTGTTCTGTATTGGGTGTCCATGTGTCTGTATGTTAGTCCTCATTCACACTGACACTGTTCTGTATTGGTGTCCATGTGTCTGTATGTTAGTCCTCATTCACACTGACACTGTTCTGTATTGGTGTCCATGTGTCTGTATGTAAGTTCCTCATTCACACTGACACTGTTCTGTATTGGTGTCCACGCGTCTGTATGTTAGTCCTCATTCACACTGACACTGTGTTCTGTATTGGTGTCCACGCGTCTGTATGTTAGTCCTCATTCACACTGACACTGTGTTCTGTATTGGTGTCCACGTGTCTGTATGTTAGTCCTCATTCACACTGACACTGTTCTGTATTGGTGTCCACGTGTCTGTATGTTAGTCCTCATTCACACTGACACTGTTCTGTATTGGTGTCCACGTGTCTGTATGTTAGTCCTCATTCACACTGACTCTGTTCTGTATTGGTGTCCACGTGTCTGTATGTTAGTCCTCATTCACACTGACACTCCTATGTCTTTATGTATTTGGAGGACAGGTCTAAACACAGATAAATACATGGCTGCATATAGAGAAATAGAATCCTCTGCCCCCGGAACTGAATAGAAATGGGAGTGATTGCGGCTAAGGCTGGCCATACTTTATCCAATTTTCTTACGTCATTTCCTTTAGATTTCCCTTCAACTATATAGTGCAAGGGGTCTGCCCTGTTGGCTAGGTTTGACCTCCTATTATATGATTTTGATAATTCTAAAGGAAAATTGTACAAGGAAATTGTATAATTAATGGCCAGGCTAAGGCTCCATACCTCCTGGGCGTTTACCTGCATGCATAAGGTTGCGGCATTTTAGCTGCAGGAGGACACAGGTGCACCATCGAGCCCTGCTGCCAGCAGCCTGGTAAACTCCAAGGCACGGTTCAGATCTCACATAGTGGGAACAAGTGTTCCCACTCACAATTTTTTAAGCATGATTTATTTATTTATTACTTGTACTTACATTGAAGGAAATAAGTATTTGATCCCCTGCTGATTTTGAATGTTTGCCCACTCACAAAGAAATGATCAGTCTAAAAATCGAATGGTAGGTGTATTGTAACACTGAGAGACAGAATAGTAACAAAACATTCAAAAGAAATGAATGTCTAACAAATTATCCACTGATTTGCATGTTCATGAGGGAAATAAGTATTTGATCCCCTATCATTCAGCAGGATTTCTGGCTACCAGGTGTGTTTCATACAGGTAACAAGCTGAGATTAGAAGCAGTCTCTTAAAGGGAGTGCTGCTAATCTCATTTTGTTACCTGTATAAAAGACACCTGTCCACAGGAGCAATCAAACAATCAGATTCCAAAAACTCTCCACCATGGCAAAGACCAAAGAGCTGTCCAAGGATGTCAGGGACAAGATTGTAGACCAACACAAGGCTGAACTGGGCTACAAAACTATCACCAAGCAGCTTGGTGAGAAGGTGACAATTGGTTGGTGCAATCATTTGCAAATGGAAGAAACACAAAACAACTGTCAGTCTCCCTAGGTCTGGTGCACCATGTAAGATCTCACCTTGTGGAGTGTCAATGATCATGAGAACAGAACTACATGTGAGGATCTTGTCAATGATCTCCTGGCAGCTGGGACCACAGTCACCAAGAAAACAATTGGTAACACTACGCCGACAAGGATTGAAATCCTGCAGTGCCCGCAAGGTCCCTCTGCTCAAGAAAGCACATGTCCAGGCCTTTTGAAGTTTGCCACTGAACATGTGAATGATGCAGAGGAGGACTGGGTGAAAGTGTTGTGGTCAGATGGGACCAAAATCGAGCTCTTTGGCATCAACTCAACTTGCCGTGTTTGGAGGAGGAGGAATGCTGCCTATGACCCCAAGAACACCATCCCAACTGTCAAACATGGTGGTGGAAACATTCTGCTTTGGGGATGTTTTTTCCTAAGGGGACAAGGACAACTGCACCGCATCAAAGGGACGATGGACGGGGCAATGTACCGTCAAATCTTAGGTGAGATACTTCTTTCCTCAGCCAGGGCATTGAAAATGGGTTGTGGATGGGTGTTCCAGCATGACAATGACCCAAAACACACGGCCAAGGCAACAAAGGAGTGGCTCAAGAAGAAGCACATTAAGGTCCTGGAGTGGCCTAGCCAGTCTCCAGACCTTAATCCGATTGAAAATTTGTGGAGGGAGCTGAAAGTTCGAGTTGCCAAACGTCAGCCACCAACCCTTAATGACTTGGAGAGGATCTGCCAAGAGGTGTGGGCCAAAATCCCTCCTGAGATGTGTGCAAACCTGGTGGCCAACTACAGGAAACGTCTGACCTCTGTGATTGCCAACAAGGGATTTGTCACCAAGTACCAAGTCATGTTTTGTGAAGGGGATCAACTACTTATTTCCCTCATGAACATGCAAATCAGTGCATAATTTGTTAGACATGCATTTCTTTTGAATTGTTTGTTGCTATTCTGTCTCTCAGTGTTACAACACACCTACCATTCGATTTTTAGACTGATCATTTCTTTGTGAGTGGGCAAACATTCAAAATCAGCAGGAGATCAACTACTTATTTCCTTCACTGTATATAGCGCTGTCAATTTACGCAGTGCTTTACATATATATTGTACATTCATATCAGTCCCTAACCCTCAAGGGGTGTACAATCTAAGGTCCCTAACTTACATTCATACATACACATACTAGGGCCAATTTAGACATAAGCTAATTAACCTACCACGTGTTTTTGCATGTAGCATGTAGAGCAGCCCATTAACCACTTGAGCTCTGGAAGGTTTTACCCTTTTTATGGCCAGGCCATCTTTTGTTATATAGCACCACTCTACTTTAACTGTTAATTGCTTGGTCATGCAACCCTGTACCTAAACAACATTTTATATAATTTTTTTTTTCCAAACAAATAGAGCTTTCTGTTTGTGGTATTTGGTCACCACTGGGTTTTTTTTAATTATATAAACAAAAAAAATTTCTAAAATTTAAAAAAAAAATGTTTTTACTTTCTGCTATAGAACCTACCCAATTAAAAAAAAAAATCATAAATTTAGGCAAAAATATATTCTTCTACATTTCTTTGGTAAAAGACAATCTCAATAAGTGTATATTAATTTGTTCATGTGAAAGTTGTACAAACTATGTGATATATACTGGAACTTTTTTATTTATTTCTTTTTATACTGGTAATGGCAGTGATCAGCAGCTTATAGTTGGACTGTGATAGTGCGACGGGCAATCTGACACTAACTGACACTTTGGGAACTGAGACTGACATCACCAGTGACACTAATTCAGTGATAATACTATACACTGTCACTGTACGAATGACACTGGCTGGGAAGGAGTTAACATCTCTGGTTGATCACGCTATTAAGGCTGGCAATATATTATACAATTTTCTTGAGATTTTTGCTTTAGATTTACCAAAAACCATATAATAGGAGGTCAAACCCAAACAACACTTTCAATTGTATCCAATTAGGTAGGCCCTTGCACTACACAGTTGAAGGTAAATCTAAAGGAAATTGGACAGAAAATTGTATAGTGTATGGCCAGCCTAAGTGTCTGCCTAATAAGTGGTAATGTATTATGTGCTGCTTTTTACTAAATATCTCTTTGTTCCTTCTCCTTGCTTTGCAGGGGGGGGAAGAAAAAAAGAGATAATTTCCTCTGTACAGAGCCCTGTGTTGGTTGTTAATACAGGGCTCTGGACTGTGATTGGATTTGCTGACAAAATGACTACACGCAGCAGGAGCCGGCAGGTGGGGACACGCATGTGTGGTGGTTTAAGTGAATGCTTCCCTATGCGCTACGTGCAAAAATGTGTGTAAATCACACTTAAAAATTGTGACCGTGCATTACGTTTATCACCCAAAAGAACTCTTGTTCCTTTTTGGGCAATGAATTTTGTGATTTTTAAAGGCATGTTTTGCTGTGATTTTCATTAATGACTTTTTTTTTTTTTTTGTACATGTTATAATGTGATCACTATGATTGGTCATCACATGATCACATGATGCCCCAGGTTCAGGATAGCAGTCACAGGATCGCACCGTTGCGCGCCCTAGGGAGCGTACCAGTGCGCATGAGCAGGGTGCAATACAACTATGTCTCTTTTCCTGCACATGCTGCAAATGTACTGCTGCTAGTTGGCAAGTGGTTAATGTGCTGCAAATTATGAGTTCCTATGCCTTTATGTCCTCTACTTCTTCCTTTTTTTTTTTTTTTTTCTTCATTTTTTACAGGAAACCTTTCAGTATGCACTTTTCAAATGGGCTGAAGAGCTTTATACTTTAAATAGAAATCAAGATTTATTTAACTGTTATGAGCAAGCATTTGAGCTTTATCCAAATGATGATGTGATTTGTAACAGCATGGGCGAGCAACTCTTCAGGTGAGTATTCTACTTGGCTTTACAGAAACCTTTGGAAATGACCCGTTACACATTCCAATAATAACCAATGTTATCTGCTTAATGCTAACAATATTAGAATTGTGTTTTCAGTGTAGATTTTTATGTTCTTCGTAAAGTTTATTTCACCAAATTCATCAAAATGTTTAAATCTTAAATGTTGTGTTGGGGAGGTGTAATGCATTGTGCATTTTGCACGTTGCATTTTTTATGCAACTTACACCAAAGCACATGTATGGTTTGAACAGGGCACATAGACAACAATTGTTTTCTGTGGGCCCTTGCATTGAGCCTTTGTTGATCTATGTAAATCAAGGCAGCTCACTGAGCCTAAAATACTATGCATGGACACATAGGATAAACACTATTTAGCTTCTGGGAGCTTAAAAAAAATGCTAGTGTGCATGGAGCCTTAAATACAAAGAAAACTCCAATACATTAACTTTCAGTTCTGATAGTTTTCAGAGCAGAGCTTTCAGGGCACAGATCAGTGACTTTGTATTAAAGAAGTAGTAGGGCCAAATAAGTTCTTTGTACTGCATTCCTGTGACCCGTATTCAGCCTACAGCGGGCTGCTGTTGGCTGATATCACTCTGGTCTAGATTCTGTAGGGATCCCAACTTTAATGTCGGGAGCCACCCAAAAGCCTGAGTGGCAGCTGGCTCAGCTTCTCAGCATGCCTCTGAGAGCCTGAGCCAGCCGTTCCTGCCCCCTCCACAGTCCAGTGCTCCAGTGATCACTTGAGGGGCAAAGCAGAGAGCCAGTGACTGACAGTCACTCTCTGCTCACTGAAGTCTGAGAACTGAGCAATCAGCGGTTTTTGATCGCTCAGTTCTCAGTGTAGAGGCGGTGGGGGAGAGATGCAGCATTGTATCGATGCTGCAGCCGCCTAGCTGAGTTTGTATGTATGTGTGTGTTTTTTTTTTTTTTTCCCCCCATATACTGCACTTCTCCTTTAAGGCCCCCACTCACACTAACCACCTCTGTAACCTAGTCCTAACCCCAACACACTATCTCTGTAACCCTAGTCCTAACCCCAACACACTAACCATCTCTGTAACCCTAGTCCTAACCCTAACACACTAACCATCTCTGTAACCCTAGTCTTAATCCCAACACACTAACCATCTCTGTAACCCTCTAACCTTTGAGTCTACACTACTAACCATCTCTGTAACCCTAGTCCTAATCCCAACACACTAACCATCTCTGTAACCCTAGTCCTAATCCCAACACACTAACCATCTCTGTAACCCTAGTCCTAACCCCAACACACTAACCATCTCTGTAACCCTAGTCCTAATCCCAACACACTAACCATCTCTGTAACCCTAGTCCTAATCCCAACACACTAACCATCTCTGTAACCCTAGTCCTAACCCCAACACACTAACCATCTCTGTAACCCTAGTCCTAATCCCAACACACTAACCATCTCTGTAACCCTAGTCCTACATCCCAACACACTAACCATCTCTGTAACCCTAGTCCTAACCCCAACACACTAACCATCTCTGTAACCACTCTGTAACCACTAGTCCCTAACCCCAACACACACTAACCATCTCTGTAACCCTAGTCCTAATCCCAACACACTAACCATCTCTGTAACCATAGTCCTAATCCCAACACACTAACCATCTCTGTAACCCTAGTCACTAATCCCAACACACTAACCATCTCTGTAACACATAGTCCTAACCCAACACACTAACCACACTCTCTGTAACCCTAGTCCCTAATCCCAACACTAACCACCATCTCTGTAACCCTAGTCCTAACCCCACACTAACCATCTCTGTAAACACCATCTCTGTAACCCCTCCATCTCTGTAACCCTAGTCCTAATCCCAACACACTAACCATCTCTGTAACCCTAGTCCTAATCCCAACACACTAACCATCTCTGTAACCCTAGTCCTAATCCCAACACACTAACCATCATCTGTAACCTCAACACACTAACCATCTCTGTAACCCCAACACACTAGTCCTAACCCAACACACTAACCACCTCTGTAACCCTAACACACTAACCATCACTGTAACCCTAGTCCTAACCCCAACCACACCCTAACCACTAACCATCTGTAACCCCAACACACTAACCACCCTCTGTAACCCCAACACACTAACCATCACTGTAACCCCAACACACTAACCATCTCTGTAACCCTAGTCCTAACCCCAACACACTAACCACCTCTGTAACCCCAACACACTAACCACCTCTGTAACCCCAACACACTAACCACCTCTGTAACCCCAACACACACACTAACCATCACTGTAACCCCAACACACTAACCATCTCTGTAACCCTAGTCCTAACCCCAACACACTAACCATCTCTGTAACTCTAGTCCTAACCCCAACACACTAACCATCTCTAACTCTAGTCCTAACCCAACACACTAACCATCTCTGTAACCCTAGTCCTAACACACTAACATAGTCTTTTTTCAGCCAGAGGCCCAGGCACCCTGGGGTGCCTTCTGTGTTCTTCAGGGGTGCTTTGGGAAAATGCTTATAAATTGCCCCAAATTTCCCAAAAGTTATAAACAAGACAGCAAGTGGATTAACCCTGCTTTTTGTTACACTAACCATGAGTTTTTATTGTGCAGAATTACAACCTTGGGCACTGTGAAGGTCAGCTGCTGGCATCCTAACAACCGATGATATAATTGGTTGATAAGGAGGATGTCAGTTGCCTGAATCCTTGGTTTTCCTCTCTCCCTCAGCACTGCGGGTCACTTTAGCTGAGTGAGGGAGAAGAGGAACGTTGGAATACTAATCAGTACCAGTGTGCAAAGGTGCAATAGCTGTGAAAGAATAAACCACCTTTGGATGTGTGGATGTTGCTGCATTATGTAAAACCATGTGTTTAGTTCTTTACATTTTAGAATGGGGTGCCTCAAGATTGTGTGGCATTTTAAAGGGTACCTTGACTGGAAAAAGAAGGTTGAGAAACACTGCTCTAACACACTAAATGTCCCTGCAGCTCCAAGCTTAACACTCACACTAACCATCTCTGTAACTTTAGTCCCAACACTCAATCTAAACCTGCCTGTAACTGTAGTCCTAATCATAACACTCACTTGTCATTGCTGTGATCTGTTTGGTTTGCAAAGGTGCATGTAATTCGTGTTTCTTTGTTCTCTGTACAATATCAATAAGCATTATTAATGTTGTACATTTCGGATGCAGACTTGGTTTTCGAGATGAAGCAGCTGATTATTTCTACAAAGCCTTGAAGCTTAACCCAGACAGTGCTGATGCCAAAGAAAATTTCAATCGCGTAGCAAACTGGTTGGTGGAACGCTGGCATTTCATCATGCTTAATGACAAGAAGAGGAACCAGATGTATCAGAAAGCTATTGAGAAGGCCGTACAAGCCGGCTGCAGAACTGTGCTGGATATTGGCACTGGTACCGGAATTCTAAGGTTTCTCCAAAATATATTGGTATTTTATTGATTTGTGTCTAAAGAGGTTTGTAGGAAAATGTCTGTTTAAGTAGCCTTTTCATCCTTCGCACTGTCTCCATTTCATTGGGATAGGAAGCTTTAGATTCTTGGTCTTAGAAGAAAGTGCCTGTGACAGATTTTTACTTCTATGCAATAGATTTATGGTCATGCCCACAGAATAGGTTCTTTTGGCTCTGCTATTTAATAGTCAGCAGCAGAGGATAATGCTTTCTCCCCAAATTTCTGCCAAATCATAGAAATCCCCAGTGAGAAGCCTGTGCCTTTTAGGTCCCATCCTCTTCACTATGGCCACAGTTGTTAATATTGGCCTGGTCACAGTATTGAAACACAGCCTGCTTTGCAAACATGACAGCTGCTGTCAGCAAAAAGGGAACCTAACATGATACAACTATTAAAGTGTAACTCCACTTTTGTGAAGAAAAATATGTTCTCCTTGGGTGATCAATGTACATTGCAAGGATTTTAACAAACGTTGTTGCAGATTCCTACCTTTTAGGGTCGGTTCACACCACATGCAGTCCAGTGCATTTTTGTTCTGCATCAAAAACACATTGATAGGTTATATGATTTCCAATGGTTTAGTTCACACTAGTGCGGTCAGTTTCAGTGCATTCCAGTTACAGAAAAAAAAAAAGCAGAAGATGCTGCATTTCTTCTGCACTAAACAGCACTGGAAAGTGGTAAAATGCATCAAAGCATACCGGAATGCACAAAAAGTACTGGAACACACATGTCCTTATTTAAGGTGAAGAAAAAGAGGGGGGAGGGGGAAATGCACCAGAATGCTTTAAAAAAACCACAAACAAAACATCCTGGAATGTGTCAAAATGCTCACGCAGAAATGAATCTGGAACGCATACAGACTGCATTTCTGTGGTGTCACTGTCACTAATGATGGTGCACTATTCCTCCCACTGTCACCAATCATGGGGCAATATTCCTCTCACTGTCACCAATCATGGGGCACTATTCCTCTCACTGTCACCAATGATGGGGCACTATTCCTCCCACTGACACCAATGATGGGGCACTATTCCTCCCACTGTCACCAATGATGGGGCACTATTCCTCCCACTGACACCAATGATGGAGCACTATTCCACCCACTAACACCAATGATGGAACACTATTCCTCTCGCTGTCACCAATGATGGGGCCCTATTCCTCCCACTGTCACCAATGATGGGGCCGTATTCCTCCCACTGTCACCAATGATGGGGCACTATTCCTCCCACTGTCACCAATGATGGGGCACTATTCCCTCCCACTAATACCAATGATGGGGCACTATTCCTCCCACTGACACCGATGATGGGGCACTATTCCTCCCACTGACACCGATGATGGGGCACTATTCCTCCCACTAATACCAATGATGGGGCACTGTTCCTCCAACTAATACCAATGACTGGACACTATTCCTCCTTCCACTGACTACAAGCACTATGTCATTTTTTTTTTTTTTTTACTCCTACTGACATTGGGACATTTTTCTACTTCCACTGACCAGTCCGGCCCTCCTAAAGTCTGGAGGACAGTAAACTGGCCCTTTGTTTAGAAAGTTTGGAGACTAATGCAGGTCATGGGTCTAATTCCGAACAAATTTTCTTTAAAAAAAATCACTTATTTTGTTTGTCTTGTAATCCGATGAGGCCACCATTGATTTTGAAATTTGACAAATAAAGACTTTAATTTTACCTCATGTTGCTGTAGAAAACAATTTTTGTAAGAATTTTCTTTTCTTTCCAGGTCACAGCTCATGCTCATTTCTTTTTCATTTGCATGTCTTGCATGATTCTCCCATCATTAATTAGATATTCATTTGTTTTTCAAAAAATTTCCAACATGCCTGATCACTCATATTCGATGGTCACTTGAAAATGATCTGTTAATGTGGCCCACTAATGATGCGAAAACCGAATTAAAATTCTTAGAAAAGATTTTCGAAAATTCTTTCAGAATTCCACCCATGTATGGCCGGCTTTATTTTCCCCTTTTGGGAGTATCTCACCAAAATGTTTGCTGCAGGGGATACCAAAAATCAGACGTGTGTCTTAGTGTAGACTTCTGGGGAAAATCGATAAGACAATCCCTCAAGCAGGAAATTACATTTTCATAGGCGTGCACAGAACGGCTCTAGGTAGTCATATTGTATTGCATTTTACAGAAAATTACAGCACTGCAGATTGAAAAGGGAAGGTCGTTTTTAATAACATTCAATTACAATATGCCTTGAGTTACCCTTTAAAGTGGACATGTGATGACTTTTACAAGCTGTGAGTTCCTAGGGTAGCAGCTTTTTACTGTAACTTCCCTACACACAACCAATGTGCAGCCAAGTTCCTTTTCCTCCCCCCACTTGCTTTCTCCATTGCTTATTGCAGAATAGCAAGTAGGGTAAGATGATGCCATTTCAGTATTAATTAATAAATTCTATTATATAGAATGTCTGACTAGACATTCTTGTCTTGCTACCATTGTGGACATAGACCATTCAACACAGGATCCAGGGTAAAGGGCTGTCATACTAATTGTATGTATTTTGTATGGTTTCCAGCTGGACTCCCAGCTGGAGTTTTGGTTTAAAAAAATTTCGGTCATCTGAATGTGATGTGTTTTCCTTGTATATCCCTGTCTTTTTTTTTTTTTTTTCTGATTTAGCATGCTTGCAAAAAGAGCGGGTGCTCCTCATGTTTATGCCTGCGAGCTGTCTAGAACAATGTATAACCTGGCCCGTGAGGTGGTGGCAGCCAATCAAATGCAAGAGGAGATCAAGCTACTGCACATGAAGTCTCATGATATACAAGTCCCCGAACACATCCCTGAAAAGTATGTGATAGATACTGCTAGAGGAAGCAGCATGTTGTCTACAACAAGTACCCTCTGTGTTGCCACAAAGTAACCAATTAAATTTAGTCTTTTATTCATTAACTGTTGTTTTCAATGCAAGTTTGATCCCAATTGGTAATACAGGCAATTCCTAACTTCAGAACTTTGACAAATTAAAATGGAGCTCCAGGCTCTCCCAAAATAATTAAAAGTCAGCAGCTATAAATACTGTAGCTGGCTTAATATACTCACCTTGCACTTTATTAGGTACACCTTGCTAGTACCGGGTTGGACCCCATTTTGCCTTCAGAACTGCCTTAATTCTTTGTGGCATAGATTCAAAACCAGGTACCCCTCCCCCAAAAAAAGTGCCAAATGTGGCAATGGAGGGGGTGAGGAGGCAAACCAGCAGAACTTCCCCTTTTTGGTGAAGGTTCGCTTTAAGATCCTCCTTCATAACTGGTGGACTTTTCATTTAAAATACTTGTTAAGCTTCCTGTTTCTTGTTCATAGAGGACGGCATGAATGTATATAGTAACTATAATATTTTTTCTGGTTTACAGAGGATGCAGGTGCGGAGAAGTCACATTATCAAAATATATTAGATTGTCTAATCCAGAGCTTAAAATTTCAAGTGCTGAGCTACTAGCCAGGCCTTAGAGTTACTCGCCACCAACAAACACACTCAGACACCTGTACACACACAGACATGTACATACACACACAGAAATATGCACACACACGCACAGAGACACATGTACATACAGACACATGTATACACACAGGCACGTATACACACAGATACATGTACAGACACATGTACATACACACACACACATGTACGTACGTACATACATGTACATGCACACAGACATGTACATACACACACATGTACATGTACATGTACAATTGTACATGCATACACAAACACACACATGTACACGTACCCCCCCCCCCCCCCCCCCCCCTAAAAAGTTGCAGTACTACGTTGTTCACCCACAGATCTGGGTACTGCACTCTAGGGGGAGGCAGAGAGCACAGCACACACTCCTGTCTTTGCTTTCACTGCGCTCAGCTATTGAGCAGTCTGACGGCTCCCAGTGCCAATGACCAATCCGGCCTGAGCTCTGAGCCTGCTCAGCAAGATGGCCCTGGGGGACACACTCGCCCCCACCATAATTTCAAGCCCTGGTCTAATTGTTTAAAGCTTATCTTTAGACAAAACCTTTTGGAATTAATAGAGTATGGGTAAACCCTAAATCAGGTTATGAGTGCTGAGTCTTGTTAAGGAGATTTCCATTCACTTATTCTGGTTACCATACCCGGTTCCAGTTTGAGTGAAGTTGGGCTCTAATAAAGCTGTTAAAGGTGCATTGATGGTATGTGAAAACAACTAATCAAATGTGTGTGCTCTAAAGTCAGCTAAATGAATGGTTAATTCTAAATGCAATGATTCACCCATTAAAATGTTAGTAAAGTAAAAAAATCAGCAAAACCGCTGACAGACAGGGTTTTCTATAACAGAAGAGACCCTAGAGGTCTCTTTTGTCATATATATCCCCCCTGCCTGTCAGTGGGTAATGTGGTCTAAGCTGCACATGTGCAGGTAAGACCATATTTACAGCCCTCTGTGTGTGCTGTTGCATGCACATACGTGGGAGTGACGTCACCTTGGCCTGGTCATTCAAGATATGAAACCTAGAAGGAAGACCAGGTGAAGATGAGAGCACTGGGACCAAGGAGAGCCGTGACAGTATAGTGCTGGAGTGCTCCGTTTGCAGGGAAGTCTGCCATAATTTACTAGTATGTGGTGCATATTAGTACATTATGAGTTAAACCTCCAGGGAGGGGGGGGGATTTTTTAAAAATACCAGGAAGACTTTACTGCTGCTTTAAATGCTTTGTTTGAATAGCTATAAATGATTGCAAGGTAAACTATATCCTGTGTGGTACCTACTGCCATACGACATTAATTGCATAAACATTTTGGATTTGCCTAAAACTGAAATCTGTAAAAAATGCAGTAATGCCTCCAGCCAGTTAGCCATCATCTATTGGTCTAACTACCTTGAATTGTAGAAATATACAACTTGGTTCCTGAAAACTGTTTGTGATTAGTGCATCTTGACCCACTTTTAATGCAATTGTTAATGTCATTTAAACAATGTGAAGCTCAGTGCTTAGCAGAAACTGGTAATAAAACTTGCTGACCTTCTAAAGGAATTGCATAGCTTCCATTCTTTATGCTCTGACTTTAATTCTGGAACAAATTTGAAGCAAATAAAGTGAGAAATTCTGATTTGTTAATTTGCAATTGGATTAGAACATTTTGAATCCACATGACTGCTAGGCAGTTAGCATTTTCAGAAGGAGGTCAGCAATGGAAACCTTACTCTCATGTCAGATTCCATTTCTTATTGTTTTGTAGCCAAAATCCTTCTATTTTATGTAGTATCTCAGTTAAAAAAAAAAAAAAAAAAAAAATTACTTCTGCTTTTCGACACGTCCAAGTCTTATAGTGATACTCTGAGCAGATGAAATCTGTTGGTTGTGGAGTTGCCCTCTTGTGTGTTTTGTTGTGTTTTTTTTTTTTTTTTTTTTTTTTTTTTTTTATGGATGCATAAGTTGTGCTTGTGCTGTTATTTACACTTTTGGTCTTCTTCAGGGTTTCACTTGTTGTCACAGAAACTGTGGATGCTGGTTTGTTTGGTGAAGGTATACTGGAAACTCTAATTCATGCCTGGAAAAACTTACTTTTAGAACCAAAGGTTAGCAAATTAAATATTACTTTCCCAAAGTGCTTCCAATAAAGGTGTTGGAGAGGTCTTATTATTACACTACTCCTTTCTTAGTAAAATATCTTTTGTCTAAATTGATACATTTTTTTTTTTTTTTATTCCTCTCAGCACAAAACCTTGCACTGTAAGTCATATGGACAAGTCATACCTGCGGGTGCTGTTGTATTTGGAATGGCTGTGGAATGTCCAGAGATACGTAGACATCACAGGTGGGCATCACAGGTCACTTTTTTTATTATGTTTGAAAAACCATAAATACATCAGATGTATAATGCACAAATGATATGAGTGACTGCACTCTTTTTACTTTTGCTGATAGTGGAAGTAAAACCAAATACCTATATATGTGTAGTTCTATTATTTATTCGGAAATGCCTCAGATGTGATGCAAACACTTTGAAAATCATTACTAGTTCTAGAACATATTTGTTGGTACATAAAGATGAACTCCAGCTAATCAGCTAAATAGGCAGATGAAATGCATATATGAGAGCTGTTTTTTACCTGCCAGCAAATTTGTGTTTCTGTTCATTCAGACCTGAGATTTACACAGTTCTGCCCAAACTCTTCACCTATCTGTACTGCAAATAATCCACCTAGATCTTTTCCTTCCACCCCCCCCCCCTCCCCCCCAGCCTGTGACTGGACAGTGAAAGGTAAAGCAGTTGAATGATGAGCTCGTCTCTCTGTCTCTTTTCTTCCTCATCCTATCAACATGTTCTCTGATAGTGCAACAAAGCACAACACAGTAGAGCTCAGTCTGCTGTACATGGTATTGCAAGAGGCTGATGCCAAATAAAATTCAGATACTTATACTGTCTGCTTTTAAGTATTTGAATCCAATGAGTGATTTGTTTTGTTACCTGCCTTGAGTTTAGCTGATGGAGAAAAATTTAGAAGTAATGAAGTAGCTTTCTAGAATTCACTGTATGATGCTTGCTTAAGCCTTGTGTGCTCCAGCCCAGAGAAAAAACTTCAGAAAACATGACCCTGACTTTATGCCTCCCGAAGGGCAGTGCTTTGCTAAGTAGTGAACATAGATAAGCCAAAAAGACCGGTTCCCTTTTATTTGTTGAGAACAGAGGGGCAGTTATAACCTGCCACAAAAAAGCCTTCAGTGCAGCCATTATTATTGCACCTTGGTAATGGCCAGTGGTCTCAGGGTGGCATCAGGCAGGTGAAAAATGAGCTACACTCCCTACAGTGCTTGACCAGTGCAACAAGTGGGTGTTTGTAGTGACTGATAACGCCTTGCAATACCAAGATGAAGCAAGAATTGGCAGCATTCAAGCAATATTACTTTTCACTTTCCTATTTGTAAAATTAAATAAGTCAAGAATAGCCAGTGTTTTGATGCCTTATGTGGTACTTTCCCTAAGGCGACATATTGATGGACTGTTGCAAGAGTGCTGCCAACCAAGGACAAGGGCCTCTGAGATGTCTATACTTCAGATTTTGGTGACTTGTTGTAGCTTTTTTTTTTTTTCAATTCAGTTATTGAAGTGAAATGCACAAAAAGTAAGATTTGTGTCTCTTCAATGGAGAAAATGAATTGGTCTTGTCAAGCACCTGCCATCGTTTGAGCAGTTATTGTTCATAATACGTCTCATGAAAAATGAGCAGGTATGCAAGGAAGTATTTAGAACTTTCTACTGAATAATAGGAATCCTCTTTTTATTATCTCCTAGGGTGTTTGTAAATGAGGTTGCTGGAGTGAAGCTCCAATTGCAGTTTTCCAGTCCTGTACATAGCAGTCATAAAAGTGATGATGTAGCAGAACCATATTCTACAGAAAAAATGAGCAGAGTGCCTGGAGGATATAAAGCACTGAGTCAATCCTTCCAGGCATTAACAGTGGACTTCAACAGCCTGCAGGTAATAGCCCCTAATAGCTGTTGGTTGCAAGATGATCAGGGTGTGCTGTCTATGTTTAGCTCTGTAGTAGCAAAAGTGGGTCAGTTTGTTGAATATGATCTGCTCATGGGTGCCTCAGCAGCAAATTGAGAAGTAAGTTTTGGTACAGTGGCATAGAGTGGGTAAGTGCACATGGGTGTAGTGGGCATCTGTTCAGTGGTAGCAAGTGGGCACAGGGCATATCAGTGCAGTGGTGATGAGTTGTAGTGTGCATCAGTGCAATGACAGCAAGGGGGAATAGTGCATGTTATTGGGAAGCGGGAATAGAAAGAGTGTTTGTTGCTGTGACGGTGAATTGTCAAAGTGCTTATTGGAGCTGTGGTGGAAAGTGGGCGTAGTGTACATCTTTTGTGGTGACAGTGAGTATGGAAATGCACATGGGTGAGGTTGCAAGGAGTAGACACAGTGCATGTCAATACAGTGGTGGGAAGTGGTTGAAATATGAGTGACTGGGAGGGTGGTTGGGTCAGGGAGCTTATTAAAGTCTGTTTACAACAGTTGATTGCATAGAAACTTAACCTCTAAAATTTAATAAAATGCAAAGTCCTTCCAAAGAGTTCTCTTCTGACATACTGTATGTGAGGCTGGAAAAAATTGAGTTCTATTTTACTTCCTAGATTCTTCTTTTACAATAACTATAGGATAAAATATTATTAAATGCAAAGCAATGCAATTTAAAAATAAACAAAACAAAAAAAAACCACGACTGAGGGGAAAATGTGGCATCGCTTGTAGAAATTGACCTATGTGTAAGTTAGTTTTCTTTCTTTCTTGTTCATTAAGGGACACAGGCATTCAGAGACGGTTGTGTTTACACCTGACTTCAAGATAATTAGGCAATGGCAAACAAAAAAATTGTGGCCAGCCAAGTAAAACCCCTCCTACTTGCAGCATATTTTACTTTTTTGTAGTATCCTATGAGAAAAATGGTCATCGTGTGTTTTTTTTTTTTTTTTTCTCTGCCCTGCCGAGAAAAGGCCACTTTTTTTTAAAATTCAAAACTCCTGATTCTCTGGAAGATTCTCATGATCAATGCCAGCCTGTGAGGCTGGGAAAGGTCCTTGACAGGAATCTCATCTTCTGATCACTGTTCTGGAACTTTGGCCAGTTTGGCTATGCTTGGAACACTGGATCTCTTGACCGGCAAGTCATCTGATCTGAATTCAGGTGGACAGTGCCACTGCCATCAGGGAGAAATCAGAAACCGCAGTGTGTGGCAAGAGTGGTAGAAAGGATCCTGTTGTGGGCAGAACTACACATTCTAGTCTTGTTTGCCTTTTTCATCTTCTGCATTGACAATTGGCAGGCAGACTTCCTTAGCTGGAAGCACCTGAATCTAGGGAAGTAGTCCCTACATCTGGAGGTGTTCCAGGACCTGTGTCACATGTGGGGAACATCAGATGTGGACCTTGTTACTTCCAGGTTAAAAAAAAAAAAAAAAAAAAAAAAAACTGGACAGGTTTGTTTCCAGGTACAAGGATCCTCTACTAGAAGCAGTGAATGCTCTGGAGGCTCGATGGATCAATACACCCTGATCTTTGCCTTTTCTCCACTGAAACTCCTGCCTTGTCTGCTTCACAGGATTGAGTTGGAGGTCATTTTGATGATCCTCATAGCTCTAAACTGGCCTGAGTGGATACAGTAATCTGAATATACTCCTGGCAAATGCTGCTTAGGCTCTTCCAGCTCATCTGGATTTTTTCTCTCAAGGACTAATTTACCATCATACTTCATAGCTGCTGGCTTTACCAGCATGACAGTTGAAGCCCAGATTCAGAGACTGGGTATCTCTGAATTGGCGATTCCCACAATGTTAAAAACTAGGACATCTACTTCCCGCAAGGTCTATCGGTGCACATGGAAGACGTACTTTTCTTTCTGTGAGACAAAGAACTTTCACCCCAGTAAATTCCTTGTTACAGATGGGCTTGGGCCAGCATTTAGCCATCAGAAGGTCAGGCCTCCTGTGCTTGCAAAGTTATTCAGAAACAGCTGGCTTCCCATTCCATGGTCAGGACAGAGTCTGTCCCTGTATGTTCTCCCAAGACTCTGGTATCTCAGTTTTCTCAGATCAATAACTGCCCTTTAAACCAGTCAGAGATATCCCCCTTTTCATTCTCTGCACAAGGTTGCATTTTTGCTGGCATTGCCTTGGCTATGCAAGTATCTGAACTGGCATCCTTTTTTTATGTAATAAAACCCTTTTAAGGTCTTAAATGAGAACAGAGGAAGTCCAATCTGCTGCACTCCAAACAATCCACTTTATTGAACCAAGATAAAACCAATACAGAGAGTGGAAAAACTGGGGGGGGGGACTGGCAGGTAAACGTGTTTCACGCTAAAGACAGCGCTTATTCATTACCAAGACCTTTCAGGTCTTACACGGGCTCATGGTGTTATGGAGTCCAAATCCTTCTTTTCTTCCTTCCCAAGAGAGCTTCAACCTTTCACCTCAACCAGGGCATTTTTCTTCCATCTGTTTGTCCGGCTACAATTAATTTTCTTTATCGTACATCACGGGACACAGAACAGGCCATAAAGACTATGTGGGTAATATACCACCTGTAGGTGAATGGACACTGGCCAACCAATCATACAGGAAGTCCTCCCCCATATAACCCCTCCTACACAGGAAGTACTCAGTTTTCTCCCAGTGTTTGTTTCCCCTGGGAGGGTCGGGGCCAGTCAGGCAGGAGGGTTGTGTACGTGCTACATTCCCCTTGTTTTCAGTCGACTGCATTGGAGTGTTTTGCTTCACTTTTTAGGCAGGTCTATGGTGTATGCTGTGTTTTGATTGAATTCTTACACAGTTCTTGTAATGCTAGTGGAGATAATGCCATCCAGAAACCGGTGTGTGGGAGGCACAGCAGGAAAGGGTGCAAATGTACCTTCGCCGGGTCCTATGGAGCCTAGTCAAAGTTCTGCTGTGTTATCCTCTCCTGAAAGACCAGGGGCAACAGGTCAATCTGAGCCACTGTGTTTATCCGGCATTGTGGCTACTACCGGTGTGTCCGCTTTGGCGTATGTAACTAAGGAGGATCTTGCATCACCCTTAGCGGGGTTAGAAGACAAGATTGCTGGTATAATTGCATCGGTGGCTCGGGGGGGGGGGGGGGGTTTAAGAAGTTGAAAAGATCCCCATCTTTGGACCCACCAGACAGTGAACAAGAGTGGTTGGAACCTGAGGATTAAGATGCGGTAGAGGATCTTGAAGAGGGTCAGGCAATTGATTCTCTGACAGAGGAATCAGAGGTTATTAAGACCCTCACTTATATGGTCTGGTCAGGATTTAGGTTACCCCCAGTGGCGGCATCTGAGGTTTCTTTTTCCTCTTTGAGCTCATTAAAGCCGCCTCAAAGTATTCAGGCATTTTTGGTGCATTCTCTTTTGGAGTAAGTTATGTATGCTGTCTGGGACAGACAGGGTTTTTGTTCCACCTAAAAGATCCTCCCTTCTGTGTACTATGGAGGAGAAGTTTGTTAGAAAGTGGGGCATGCTGGAGGTAGACGCAGCTGTGTCTTCCCTGAATAAGCATTTAACTTGTCCTGTGGATAATGCCAAGGTGTTTAAGGATCCGGTGGATAAGAAATTAGAATCGCTCCTCAAGGCTTCTTTTTCATGGCAGAGGCTGCTGCTATCGGTATCTGTCAGAGTCTGACTGTGTTAAATGGGTGGTTAAAAGACCATCTATCTTGGAGGAGGATACAGCTGTGGATTTGGCAAATTTACCACAGACCTTGTGTTTTGCAGTTGATGCCCTTAAGTATTAAAGTCAGCAGATTTCTTGAATGGCCCTTCTGTCGGTACACATGAGCAGTATCTTGTGGTTAAAGATTTGGGCGGTGGAACTACCATGCAAAAGATTGTTGGCGGTTTTCCCTTTCATGGAAAATGTTTGTTTGGGGAGGACCTATACAAGTATATCCAGAGGATGTCAGGGGAAAAAGTACGCTTTTTACCCTTTTAATAGAGAGTCCAAACGCCTGATCTTTAAGAGGTCAGGCACTTCAGTGTTTGGTGCTTCTTCTGGTAGGCAAACATTTCACCGCACACAGGGATCTGTGCCCAGTGAAAAATTCCAGGGCCAGAAGAAGCCCTGGGGGAAGAAGCCCACCAGGTAAGATTCTAAGTCCGCTTCATTATGGAGTGGTGCTTCCACTCGTGCAGGCGAGGGGGGAAGACTTTTGGTTTTTGCAGATATCTTGGAAGCGGTGATCCAGGACAAGTGGGTCATTGCTACAGTTGCTCAGGGGTACAAATTGGAATTTTGGGCAATTCTTCCTCCCCGTTTCTTAAGGTCCATTGTATCCACCAATCCATTGAGAAGGAATTTGTTTGTTGCAGGCACTCAACTACCTGTTGTCCCAGGGCATAATTGTGGAGGTTCCAGTGGACGAAAGGTTCCAGGGATTTTATTCAAACTTATTCACACTTGCTAGGCCGAATGGGGATGTAGGGCCTATTCTAGACCTAAAGGGGCTAAACTGTTTCCTAAAGATTCGTTCATTTCGGATGCAGTCAGTCCGGTCAGTAGTCGCATCTTTACAAGAGGGAGACTTTCTAGCATCCATAGACATCAAGGACACATACCTACATGTGCCAATATTTCCAGCTCAGCAAAGGTTTCTGCGGTTTGCGATAGAAACTTGACATTTTCAGTTCGTGGCACTACCTTTTGGGCTAGCCACGGCTCCTTGAGTGTTTACAAAGATTCTGTCTCCAGTCTGGGACTGCTCAGAACTCAAGGAATATCGATTTTTGGGCTATCTGGACGATCTACTGCTCAGGGGTCAGTCTGGTCCAAGCCTGAGAAATATGGCTCTTATGATTCATACCCTGGAATGCTTGGGCTGGGTGCTCAAGTTCCAGAAGTCAACCCTGGAGTCAGTACAGAGTCTGGAGTCCAGGAAAGGGCCACGACCTGAGATATGAGGTTCAGAGTTTGAGGAGCAGGAAGTATCCTTCCATTCGTCTCTGCATGAGGTTAATGGGAAAGATGGTATCTTCATTCGAGGCAGTGCTCTGTGCAGTTCCACTCAAAGCCTTTGCAGAGGAATATTCTGTCAGCATGGAACAAAAAGATTCCAGCACTGGATTGCTGCATTTCTTTGTCCCCACAGGTGCTGAAGAGCTTGAATGGGTGGTTGGAAGCTCGGAATTTGGAAAAGGGAAGATCTTTCCCACTAGTGATTTGGAAGCTGGTAACAACTGATGCCAGCCTCTTGGGTTGGGGGACTGTTCTAGAAGAGATCCACAGTCCAGGGGACATTGTTGCTGCAGGAAAAGATCTTTTCCCATCAATATCCTGGAGCTTCGGGCAGTGCGGTTTGCCCTGAGATATTGGACAACCAGGCTTCAAGGTTGGCCAGTCAGGGTCCAGTCTGACAATGCTACAGCTTTAGCATACATCAACCACCAAGGCCGGTACCAAGAACCGGAGGGCTCAGGAGGAGGTAAATCGCATTCTGGCTTGGGCTGAAGGGCATGTTCCAGTTCTGTTAGCAATATTCATTCCAGGGATAGAGAATTGGCAGGCGGACTATCTCGGTTGTCAGCGGTTGTTTCCGGGGGAATAGGCTCTGCATCCTGAGGTGTTCTCAGCAATCTGCCAGCGTTGGGGGTACCCGGACATAGATCTGTTGGCATCCAGGTCCAACAGCAAGGTGGACAGGTTTGTGTCCAGGATGTGGGACCCTCTTGAGATAGGGGTAGATGCTTTGATGATACCATGGGATCAGTTTTCCCGAATATATGTCTTTCCCCCGCAGCTATTGCGCAGGATTTAGGATAAGGTGATGCCGGTGATATTAGTAGCACCAGCCTGGCCCAGGAGGTGTTAGTATGCGGACATTGTCAGGCTAGCAGTGGGCAATCCATGGCCTCTGCCAGACCGGTAAGACCTGCTGTCTCAGGGACCTATATTGCACCCAGCTTTACAGTCGCTGAATTTGATGGCATGGCTGTTGACACCCAAATTTTGAAAGATAGGGGAGTGTCAGACTTGGTTATCCACACGATGTTGAATGCTAGGAAGCGGGTATCTACGAACATTTTATTATAGAACTTGAAAGGCATATATTTCTTGGTGTGAGGGTCGAAATTGGCACCCCTTGAAGTATTTGGGAGAATTTTGTCTTTTCTCCAATCAGGAGTAGAAAATAAATTGGTTGTTGATACTATTAGGGTCAGATTTCAGCCTTTAGCTGTTTTTTTTCCAAAGGCCAATTGTTTCTTGCTCTGTGGTTTGTACTTTTTTACAGGGAGTGATGCGTACTATTCCTCCTGTTGAACAGCCCCTGTGTCCCTGGCACTTGAATTTGGTCTTTGGCAATTTTACAGAAACCACCATTTGAACCTATCGGGGGGATTCCATTAGTTCTGCTAACTTGAAAGGTTGTTTTTGGTGGCAATCACCTCTGCAAGAAGGGTATCAGAGTTGGCAGCTCTCTATCTTGTAGGGAACCATTTTTGGTTTTACATCAGGATAAGGTGGTGTTATGGCCTCATCTGTCCTTTTTGTCATAGGTGGTTTCTAGTTTTCATCTCAATCAGCACATTATTCTGCCTTCATTCTTTCTTGGGCCTCAGTCGGCAAAAGAGAGATCTTTTCATGCCCTGGTTGTAGTTTAGGCAATAAGGGTCTTTTTGAGAATGACGGCGCTGATTAGAATGGCTGATTCTTTGTTTATTCGCAGGATAGGACAGGCGGCATCAAAATCAATTATTTCTAAGTGGATTCGACAGTTAATCATTCAAGCCTGTGGTTTGAAGAACAAGGTTCCGCTCTTTTCGGGTGAAAGCACACTTTACCAGGAGTGTGAGGGCATCTTGGGCTATCCACCACCAGGCATCAGTTGCTCAGGTTTTCAAGGCTGCTACATGGTCTTCGGTTCATACATTCACAAGGTTCTACCAGGTGGCTGTCAGGGCCACGGAGGAGTCAGTCTTTGGCCGCAGTGTTTTACATACAGCTAAATGGCTCCTTTTTGGGATGTTGGCAGTGGTTATTGTGATGTCACACACCCTTAAGGTTATTGCTTTGGGACATCCCACAAAATCAATATTATGGACTGCTCTGTGTCCTGTGATGTACGATAAAGAAAATTTGTTTTTTTTTTCTACATACTTACCTGTAAAATCCATTTCTTGGAGTACATCATGGGACACACAGGTCCCTCCCCTCATTCTGAATTTTTATTGCTTACTGCAAAAACTGAAGTACTTCCTATGTAGAAGGGGTTATATGGGGGGGGGTCTTCCTGTTTTTTGATGGGTTATATGCCACCTATAGGTAAATGGACGCGGGCCGACCAAAGTAGTCATTATTATGGCCTGCTCTGTGTCCCGTGATGTACTCCAAGAAATGGATTTTACAGTAAGTATGTAGAAAAAAATCCAATTTTGTTCCGTTCATTACTTGGATGTAGTTTGCACTGTGCTTGTCCATCTTACAGTCACTGCTGACTTTCCTGAGGGTAATCAAGGCTTCTGGTCTGAAGTATTGAATTCTAGGCACATGTTACTGGACCTGATGAGTGCTTCTTCTTTCTTTTTGGATCAAGCAACTCAGATATTCAAGGCTGCTAGTTAGCATGCAGGGACAGATGCCTGGATCTGGATGCACAGGGTCTTCAGCGGAGGTTGTGCACCCTACCCTGTGTACCTGTCAAACTCTGCTGTATGTGGCTGCCTACATGCATCCCACTATGAGAACAAAAACATAAATTTCTTATGCTATATGGGGCTGTGTGAATGAGCCCTAACAGTGTACACAAAAGTAAAAAGTAAATGCATAGTACCCAAAAAAAAAAAAATTTATATATCTATATACACTCTCATCAACCACTTTATTAGGTACATCTGTTCAATTGCTTGGTAACAAAAATTGCTAATCAGCCAATCACATGGCAGCAACTCCATGCATTTAGGCATCTAGATGTGAAGACGACTTGCTGAATTTTAAACCGAGCATCAGAATGGAGGAGAAAGGGAATTTAGGTGACTTTGAACGTAGCATGGTTGTTGGTGCCAGACAGGCTGTTATGAGTATTTCAAAAACTGCTGATCTACTGGGATTTTCACACACAAACATCTCTAGGGTTTACAGAGAATGGTCTGAAAAAGAGAAAATATACAATGAGCAACAGTTGTGTGGACGAAAATGCTTTGATGTCAGAGGAGAAAGGGCAGACTAGACTGGTTGCTGCAGTGTATATCGCTGAGCACAATTATTTCATGTACTAAGTGATTTTTTGTGATTTGCTGCCAGGATTTGGAAAGCATTGCTTCTGGAAAGACCTGCCAAATCCCAGTTCAAATCCATGAACAAGGGCAGCTTGATTGTTTTATAACTTGGTTTTTCCTTCATTTGGATGAAGAGCACACTCTGTCAACTGAACCCAGTGAAGAAACTTGCTGGGAACAAGCAGTCTTCCCTATTCAGAACCTCTCTGGTAAGTGTGGTTGTGCTTGTTTTGCAGCCATATATTCAACAGTGACTTAGAGACTACTGAACCATTCAATACCTTCTCCTAAAGGAAACTGCAGTCTGCTGTTCCTACCATTCTCATACAGTGACACACTAGAGCTGATTTTGGATGGAAACTTATTAATCCAGTATATTTTAAATTGTAGGAGGTATAGAGGAAAGCATGACATTGATAAACATTCCTGGTGGGAATTAATATTTCTCATCCCACAAGACCATAGCACTAGCCATGAAACTACCAAATATTGTTTTCCAGTCTAAACTAATATTCCAAGAAAATGTTTTGGATGTAGTGGTGAATGATTAGAACTTAGATTGCAAGCTCTTATGAGCAGGGCCCTCCTAACCCTCTTGTATTTTATTGTATTGGAACTGTACTGCCTCCCTTTTTATATATTGTAAAGTGTTGCACAAACTGTTGGTGCTATATAAATCCCGGACGTCGACGACAGGATTTCTGTTCGTTATTTTATCTTCACTGAAGGGAGTGGAAATCCCACTTTCTGCAATTATTAGTAGAATAGATAATGCTAGCGTGGGGAAACAAATGGGAATAAAAATGTGGACGTGGTCAGACTTTTCACTAATACAGTTTAAAACTAGAACAGCCAAATTTTTTATATTGATTTTTTTTTTTTTAGTTTTAGATAGTGGGGAAGGATTAGAACTTCTGTCTGGTTTTATTGCAGTTGGAAAGTTCTTCAGTTCTTTCCTGCTTGGTAAAAAAAAAAAGTCCCCAGGACAGGAAGTGAGGGGAAATCTCTCCTAACAGCAATACAGACAGAAATAAAAAAATGTTTTTTTTTTTTTTTTGCTAAAATTATTTGTAAAATCAGTATTTAATATTCCTTTTGTTCTGTGTTTTTTTTTTTTTTTTTTTTTTTTCCATAGCTGATGGCTGCTTTGTGAACCCTGGGGATATAGTAATAGTTGATGTTTCCTGCCCTAACTGCTATTTAAGATTAGATCTAGTCTCTGTTTCTAGATGTGGCAAATTTGATCATAGCATGTCTTCTTGTAACATGCTATCTGGAAATGAGACTGAACTGTGTAATGCCTTGGCCAGCCTTCATACTAGCAACCAGGACATGCCGTGCATCCTGGATCCTATTGAGATTGCCATGCTAAACAACACTGCATATCATGAGAGCTTCAAGGTGGCTATCAATAAAGTTATATCTTCCCTGGCACCAGGAGACCATTGGGCTCTAGCATTGGTGCATCATCCCCTGAAGAACATTACTCTGATGCACTGTACGTCCTTGACGTATCTGAAGGATTTTCCATTTTACCCTTAATTGCTGCCCAACTAGGAAAAGTAAAATCGTACAGCTCAGTGGAAGAGGAACAGCACTGTGTTGCTTTGCAGAAACTGACAGAAAGGAATGGCATGGCTAAAGAAAGTCTAGAGTTCTGGTTGAACCAACTGGATACAGATGATGATGTCCTACGGAGGCCAAGGTCTGATAAGTTATGGAGTATCATTATTTTAGATGTGGTTGAGCCCTGTGGCCTGATCAGACAAGAGGTGATGGAAAAAGCAGCAATAGCAAGGTAACTGAACTTCTTTTTGTTTTTTTTTTTTTGTTTTTTTTGTTTTTTTTAGTTCCCTAGTTAAATGGTGTAAGATAAAGATCCGTTGTGAGGTTTTGGATACTTTACAGGTCAATTTTGTTTAGATTTTTTTTTTTTTTTTTACTTTTTTTTATAAAGTTAAACTACAGCAAAAAGACCCAAATGCTCCCTTTCTACAATAAAATGTGTAGTTCATATAGAAGTATTCCTTTCAATCATGACAGAAGCCCTTTTTATCAATGATGTTTTGGCTACAATATTTAGTGATCTCTCATTTTGGCAAGACTGACAGTTTTTTTTTGCATGTGGCGAGCAGGATCAACCTCCAGTTTGTCCTTTGGGGACACTGGCAAATTTTTTTTTTTTTCCCAGCTTTGCTGAGTACATCTGCATGAAGTTCCAAGGAAGCATGAACATGTCTTGATGATTGAGCATTTTTATGGATTTAAGCCTGCCATAGATGGTTCGAACCTCAGCTGGTTCAGCAGGGATGGGCCAAGATTGGAACCATCTATGGGCATACTGATTGTTGTACAACCAGCCTGTCAAATTTTTCACGCGATTATTGCCAGTGGCTATAGCTGCTAGAGATCATCACTGGTTTATGCCAGTAGGTGTGGTTCCCCCCCCCCCCATGCCAGGAGAACACAATAGCTCCACGTGAGGTATTCCCCCATCATACAGACTGTGTTGATGGGGAAATTGAGTGAGTGATTTTTCTGGGTTGCAGGAAAGAAAATGTAATTGTCTGTGGCCTGTCTAAAACTGCCTATCTAATCTCCAGTTTTTATCTAGTTGTTTGCAGATCTGATGACAAACCTCAGTTTTTAGAAAAGAGCTGACTAAATTTTAATGCTTTGATATAAGTCTACACTGCATTTGGCAATGAATTTAGTGAGAGCCATACTATATTCCAGTCGGCATGTGGACGATCAATCATAGATTGTAGTTACACCATATACAAATAAAAGCAGACCAGTGCCACTTTTCCTTGGACAACTGACTTGAGGCACAGTAAAAATGTTTGCAGCTGGAATCATCCAGGGATCCTGGATCAACGAACACATTGTAATCAGAAAAAACCCACACAAATACACCCTAGAAATACCAGAGTCCTTTGTGTGTAATAATGATCAATAGAAATAGATCATGATCATTATCAATAGTTCATGATGATTATAATGAACTATTTCTATTGACCATTATTACACACAAGGGTGTTTCTCTAGGGGGCTTTTGCGCTGTTTTTCTGATTACATTGTGTCAGCTTGTGGTTACTAACTGCTCTGCCGTGATCTGTGGCCCTTCTAGCATAACATGAGTAGTAGTAACTCTCATGATGGAAAAATTGTGTAGCATGGGACCAGCACTGAGGATATGGCTCTGGAATAGTGCAGCTGCACTGCTTTATTTGCTAGATATGTTTCTATTCCACGTTTTTTATATTTATTCTATTTTTTTTTTTTTATTGTAGGTGCTTACTTCAGTCTGGAGGAAAGATATTCCCCCAAGCTGTGGCTATATATGGTATCTTGATAGAATCTCACACCTTACTACAGGAGTGTGCTGTCCAAGGTATAGAGCCTACACTCGGCTTCAGTATAGCACCGTCCATTAACCATTTTAAGGTTGGTCATTTTGTCTGTTTTTTACATATTTTTCCTGGTTAATTGCAATGCTGGCTTTAGTGAAATAAGTCTGCATGCATACCATACTGTAACAGTTTCATTAGAATAAGCACATCTTCGCACTTGCAGACAAAGCTGCTTCTTGGTATTACAGCTTCTTTATAAATGCCTAAAACTTCACTTTACATTTATGAAATGAATATGCCTTCACATGAAAGCTCTTGGCTTTGGATTGGTGACCTTATTTTTAAAGGTTGGTTGCCTGAATATTTAGGGATTTAACACTGCTTTCCTTTAGGCAATGTCTTACAGTTTGGTCACAGAACAAATTTGCTGTCAGTGAGGTTGGGTCTTTTGATCTACATACTTTTCCTGGGTTAGCGACTCTACTGAAGCCAATGCGTCTGAATGAGAGAGAGGTAGAGGGGGTTAGCAGTGGCTGTCCATGTTTTGTCTCTTCGCAAAGAAATTATACTAAATTTACCTGTAAATTGTCAGTCCATATAAAAGTGATATTTCAGTTATTTGACTAAACTGCACCTGTCCACCGCAACCTAATCTCTTTTGTCTGTTCTCATCCAGAAGTGCAGTTTTTTGAGATGCTGGAACTAACCCTTTTAATCTGAGTGTTTTTTTTTTTTTTTTTTTTTTTTTTTTTTTTATTACAACAAAATCTAATGAGCCTTTTAGCTGTTTTTGTTTACAGTACTGCAGTCTGGTGTCTCATAATTCTGTACTTTGTAGCTTTTCGCCCACAGAGGATTCAGACTTGGAGAACTAGTGTTGCCAGCCATCCCAGTGAACACACACTTTTTTATTTCTTTAAGCTTCTATTCATGGACAATATGTAACTTAAGGATACTGGAAACGAAGTGAACTGGCTAGGAGAATGAAAATGAGAAGCATTGGGGGTAGGCTTTGTCCTGTAAGCTAAGTGATTTCTCAGTAAGGGAAAAGGTGTCCAGGGGTCCATCACCTTAGGATAGTAGCTAAAAACCGAGGATTAAAAGAGGCAGGTAAGGTTCTAGGACAGATGTGCCCTCAAAAGCTCACCAGTGTGCTATCACCTGAAGGTACCACCCTTTAAATGCTATGAGCTTTCTGCCTGTGGCCTGACCTGTATGATTAAGATAAGAAAACTTGCATCATTGTGACATATATATGGGTACATTTAAAGCTGAATTTTACATTGCCTGACGCCCAAGACATGTAGTTCCGGGTGCCGGGCAGGTGGCTTTTTTTTTTAACCTTTAGCCCTGCTGCGGGCAAGCAGCAGGGCTCACCTGTCAAGTGGAAACATTCAGGTGACAGCGCTGCTGCCGATTGCTTCCACACAGTGCCAGCCTCTCCCCCCCCCCCCCCCCCCACGTGAGGTCTCCCGGGCTCTACTTGCCCATCTGCAGGACCGGTACCAGCTCACAGCCAGTGGCTGGGAGGAAAGGGAGCGGACATGTCACTTCCGGGTCCCCATTGAAAGATTTCCCGGCCATCGAATAATGTACACTGCATTACATTCAGGGGAGGCATCCAGGTTCTTTTCTGACTCAACTGGATGTCTCAAACAAAGAGAACCTGTTACCAAAAATAAATCATAACATAGGGGACAAAGTCCCCTATGTTATGTATCAAATGTGATAATTTTTTTTTTTTGTTCCTATAGAAAATTTACTGAAGTTACCTTTTCACGAGTGCTCGCAAACTTAAGGTTTGACATGTTGGATATCTATTTACTCGGCGCAACCTCATCTTTTTATAGTTTACAAAAAAAAATAAGGTTATTTCTTGTTTTTTTTTTTGTGCGCTAAAATTAACTGATTTACTGAAATTTTGCAGTAATATCATGCAACATAAACTACCACTATTTTATTCTCTAGGGTCTCTGCTTTCAGAAAATATATCTGTTTGGGGTTTTATGTAATCTTCAGGTCTAAAATGATTTTTTAAACTTGCGTAAAAAAAACACAAAAACGGCTCTGGCAGGAAAAAGGGATAAAGGATAAGCCCGACACTCCCCTTTCCTGAGTAGCACCCAATCAATGCTCGTTACACTGCAAGGTCTCTCTCCTCCCTGCCAGTCCCTGGGTGCAGGGCTGGAGACTGGCAGGGAGGGGAGGAGGAGATAAACAGCGCAGTGTTAAAATTATTACACATTGAAGTTGCCATAAAGCCCCCCCCCTTTTTTTTTTTTTTTTTTTTTTTTTTTTTTAAAGCCCCAGTCATTCCTAAAATCACCTCCGATTTTAAATACGGTTTTGGTTAAAATGTATTCGTTTTTTTTTATCTGGACAAGTAGATTGTCATGCAGGACAAGTAGATTGGGACCCCGATGTAGTCCCTGGACAAGTAGTTATTATTATAGATATTAACACACCATTTAATCAATCTAGGGACCTAGGGCTAGTTTAGAATAGAGTTGCTAGCTAAAGAGTGATACACATTTGAATTGCTCTTTAGAGAGCTTTTGACAAGTGCTGAGGAGGCTGTGGTTGGGCCGCGGTTTTACGACCCAGAATAGTTAGTGTAAATGAGGCCTAAAAATGTATTTTACAGAAAACACTTGAATCTGCTGTTGAGATTATTGTCCTGCAATCCTCTACGCAGCAACACTCATTGGCAGTGTTGGGGTTCTATTGCTTTGCCTAGTGCTGTCAGGCTTCACATTGAACATACAGAAGAACAATCTCTTCAGTGTGCTGCTGCGTCACAGCCCAATTATAGGCAGTTGGATCCTGGACTAGGCTACATTGCTTAAAAGGATAAGTTCACCTTTTGCTAAAATTAATAAATGCACATTTTTATTTATTTTTTTTTTTTTTTTTTGCAGGTAAAAATGTTTAATTATTTTTTTGTTACAGAAGCCTGCATATCATTGCACCAGTAATCAGCAGAATGCTGGTGCCATGCAGGTCTCCTGTAGACCTGTCAGTATATCTGCTTGTCTGCACAGGATGTACGGGCAAGCATATATACTGACAGGAAGAATCAATGAACTACCACGGTGCTACACAGTGCTGTGGTAGTTTGAGAACTACAAGCCGACAGTCACTAAGGCTGTTGAGACTTGTAGTTTCTCATTCACAGTGGACTGCAAATGAGTGACATGGCTGGAGCTCTGCACAGCCGTATTTTAAAAAAAAATTTTGCGGAGGGAGGGGGGGGATCCCTCACCTGCTGTCAAAGCATGGGGGGGGGGGGGGGGGGGGGGGTGTTGTAGAGGGCTGGTCTTTTCATAACATGTTACACCCCCAATATCGGCGAAGTGAACTTATCTTTTAACTACCTGAACTGAATTACAAGTCCTTTGGCAGGTAAGGCCAGTCCAATATATGAATTTCTGCTATTTATTTTGCCCTTTGCCTTCATCGTTAAGATAGATCTGGTGCTGTATGTGCAGATTAGCACAATTGTATTTCAGTATACCACTGCAGCCTGAGTTTAGATATGTTATCTCTTGCAGGTACCTGTCCAGATGTTCCTGAATTTATCCACTCTGCCTTGTGTTTCTCTAAGTGATCCATTAGAACTGCTCAGGCTGGATCTTATGGACCCATGTTCAAACAGCTTCAGCTTCATTAATGAACTAAAGGTGTTGTATTATCTAAATGTTGCTGGCATTATTTTATGACTTTTAGGAATGTTTACTAAAGTGCTGGCTGTATCCAAATTAACTGAAAACCATGAATTAGGTGTAGCTATTGCTCCTCAACATATAAGAGCTCCCAGTGATGAGGTGAGCACCATTCTCTTATGGCTTCCAGTGATCAGAAAGCAAGGCATTCCCAGGTAACACATTTTTCTGGTTTAAGGGATTTTGCATATTAGCAGCCTGCTTTGCTTCAGAAACTAACTTCTAAAAGTTAACATTCTTTTCATTTCTACTAGGTTTGAGTTCTGCCTGTGTTGTGACCTTTTGAAGGCTAAGTTCATCTTTTTAGTAAAAAATAATTTTGAAGGTAAAAAATAAATTTTGTACACTGGAGCCTGCAAAGCATTTGGTAGATAAAATACAACCTCCTTGCCCATACCTGTCTCGAAATTCAGCCGAATTTCAATCCACATATTGCCGGCTTTAGCCTAGACAGCCCTCAGACATACTTAGGACTTCTGAGCACTTGAGGTGTATCTGAACCCAAAACCAAAAATGGTTTTGCAGCTTATTAGTTCTTGGGGATGCAATAGTTTTTCTTTTTCAAGCTTCTTTTGCTTTGTTTCACCCGGTAATCCAAAAACCACACAATCCTGTTCCTGGGTGGCTAGATCATTTTCCTCCACTGTATCTATGGAGATAACCATGGTTGTCATAGACTGCACCCCAGGTATGGACTACAAACATGTCCATATCTCTTCATCTCCATTACATGGGGGCATGGCCATAGTAGTTTACAGAATACAACCCCTGGCAAAAAGTATGGAATCACCACTCTTGGAAACTGTTCATTCAATTGTTTAATTGCGTAGAAAAAAAAACCAAACAATCTCAGACATCCCTCAAAACTATTTTCATTGCACATTCCAACCTTCTGGCTTTAAGAATCACTTAAAAAAAGAAAACTGTAGTCACTTGCAACTGTTTTTGCAGATCAAGCAGAGAAAAAAAATATGGAATCACTCAATTCTGAGGAAACTGTTTATGGAATCACCATGTACTTTGCAGTTCTAAAACAAACATCTGCATCAGCTTACATCTGCGAATTAGTCTGCAGTTAAGAGTGCTTGTACACCTTGGTGAGCTGTTGCTCAAGCTGCTTGACATGAATCATGGCTCCAACATGAGAGATGTCAGTTGAAACAGAGGAGAGGATTATAAAACTTCTTCAAGAAGGTAAATCATCACAGAATGTTGGTTGTTCCCAGTCAGCTGTATCTAAAATTTGGACCAAGTACAAATTAAATGACCAAGGAAGACCTCAAAGCGTCAAGATAGAAAATTTAACTCAATATGCCTTGAAAACAGAAAATGCACAACAAAGCAAATGGGCAGAAACTGGAGTCAATGTCTGTGAACGAACTGTAAGACATTGCCTAAAGGAAATGGGATTTACATACAGAAAAGCCACACAAAAACCATCATTAACACCTAAACAGAAAAAAACAAGGTTACAGTGGGCTAAAAAAAAGCAATCATGGACTGTGGATGACTGGATGAAAGTGATATTCAGTGATGAATCAGGAATCTGCATTGGGCAGGGTGAAGATGCTGGAACTTTTGTTTGCTGTCATTCCAATGAAATGTATAAAGACAACTGCCTGAAGAAAACATGAAAACTTCCACAATCACTGATGATATGGGGTTGCATGTCAGGTAAAGGGTAGATGACAGTCATTAAATCTTCAATAAATGTACAAGTTTATATTGAGATTTTGGACACTGTTCTGATTCCATCAATTGAAAGGATGTTTGGTGATGATGACATCATTTTTCAGAATGATAATGTATCTTTCCATTGGGCAAAAGCCATGAAAACTTTCCTTCAAGAAGGACATATAGGGGAGAGTGCAAAATCAGGCTCACTTCCACATAGAAACCAATCCGCTTCAAGGTTTGATTGCTCAAAGCTTAATTGAGCAACCTGAGGTTAGAAGCCGATTGGTTTCTATGCAGAAGTGCGCCTGATTTTGCACTCTACAGCTTTAGTAAATACCGTATTTTTCGCTCCATAAGACGCACATAGGTTTTAGAGGCGGAAAACAAGAAAAAAAAATATTCTGAACCAATAGACTGCAGACACAGTACAGGAGATGACCAGAGACTGCGGACACAGTACAGGAGATGACCAGAGACTGCGGGCACAGTACAGGAGATGACCAGAGACTGCGGGCACAGTACAGGAGATGACCAGAGACTGCGGGCACAGTACAGGAGATAGAGGACTGACAGTACAGGAGATGACTGTGGACGTACTACAAGAGATGGCCAGAGACTGCAGACACAGTACAGGGGATGACCAGAGACTGCGGACAGTATAGAGGATGAGCCAGAGACTGCGGACGTACTACAAGAAATGGCCAGAGACTGCGGACACAGTACAGGGATGACCAGAGAGACTGCGGACAGTACAGGGGATGGCCAGAGACTGCGGACGTACTACAAGAAATGACCAGAGACTGCGGACATAGTACAGGAGATGACCAGAGACTGCGGACATAGTACAGGAGATGACCAGAGACTGCGGACATAGTACAGGAGATGACCAGAGACTGCGGACACAGTACAGGGATGACCAGAGACTGCGGACATACGGTACAGGCGATGACCAGAGACTGCGGACACGGTACAGGGATGACCAGAGACTGCGGACACGGTACAGGCGATGACCAGAGACTGCGGACACGGTACAGGCGATGACCAGAGACTGCGGACACGGTACAGGCGATGACCAGAGACTGCGGGCACGGTACAGGCGATGACCAGAGACTGCGGGCACGGTACAGGCGATGACCAGAGACTGCGGGCACAGTACAGGCGATGACCAGAGACTGCGGGCACGTACAGGCGATGACCAGAGACTGCGGGCACAGTACAGGAGATGACCAGAGACTGCGGGCACAGTACAGGCGATGACCAGAGACTGCGGACATACTACATCATATAAAGTTCCCACCACCCAGAATATCAAATGATCTGACACCATACATCAAGGAAAAGGACTACAACTCCCAGCATGTAATTTTTAACTTACAGAAGGCAGGGGGCGCACTGAGCTCTGAGAACAGGCCACACCAGCAGACAGGACCAGACTGCAGAGCAGGGAGCGCACTATGGACACATGCCAGGAAAGGGGAGGAGCTGTAAGGACAGGCCACACCTGCGGACCGGACTGCAGAGCACAGAGAGCAGTACACAGACATGCCAGGAGCAGGGAGGAGCTCCAAGGACAGCGCGGACCGGCAGAGCTGGGTTCGGCGGGGGACTGCCTACTATGAAGAGCTGCGGGGACAGCCCGCTGAGAGACGGGATAAGGTAGGGAGAACGTCAGTGACAGGCTGCAGTGGGAGGGGACAGCCGCTGGTACTAACACGGCGGCGTTGACAGGTGGAGGACTGTCAGTATCCGGAGAGAGAAGGTATAAGGCAGGGAGAGCATTGGTGACAGGCTGCAGTAGGAGGGGACAGCCACTGGTACTAACACGGCGGCGGTGACAGGTGGAGGACTGTTAGTATTCGCTCCATAAGACGCAGAGACATTTTCCCCCATATTTTCTGGGGAAAAAAGTGCGTCTTATGGAGCGAAAAATACGGTAAACCTCACAATGTTAATGGCAGGCCTGCAAATAGTCCAGACCTCAATCCAATTGAAAATCTATGGTGGAAATGAAAGAAAAAGGTCCATGACAAGGCTGCAACCTGCAAAGCTGATCTGGCAACTGCAATAAGAGAAAGTTGGAGCTGTATTGATGAAGAATACTGTTTGTCGATAGTTAAATTCATGCCTCAGAGATTTCAAGCTGTTATAAAAGCCAGAGATGGTGCAACAAAGTACTAGTGGTGTAGTGTAGTGTTTTTTTTTTTTTTTTTTCTTTTTTCATGATTTCATAATATTTTCCTCCAAAATTTAGTGATTCCGTATTTTTTCCTCTGCTTGATCTGCAAAAACAGTTGCAACTGACTACAGTTTTCTTTTTTTTTTTTTTAAATGTTTCTTAAAGTCAGATGGTTGGAATGTTAATTGAAAATGGTTTTGAGTCATGTCTGTGATTGTTTGTTTTTTTTTCTACACAATTGAACATTTTCCAAGAGTGGTGATTTCATACTTTACCAGGGGTTGTATAACGAGGAAGAAAGGTATTCAGTGCAGCTCACAGAGATTGACAAGGACACTGCATTGTTGATAAAAGCAAGAGTCATTTTCTCTACTTGCTGAAAATGTTCTTCGCTTAGAAAAAGAAAACGAATGCAGCCACCACATCTGGTAAGTGTAAGCCACAATAGATTGCATTTTTGTTTTTGGGTTTAATTATACTTTAAATTTTATAGCTAACAAAAAATGGTGCTTATGAGTTTACATTCCATGTAAATTAGATATGTTTGTCTCCCTACAGGTCAAAATCTGTAAATCAGGACAAGTTACAGCCATTCCCTTCTGGTATCATCTCCACCTTGATGAAGACATTAGCTTGGACACCTCCCATGTGACATCACATTGGAAACAAGCTGCATTTGTGCTGGACAGCCCTCTCCATGTGGGACAAGGAGAGGAGCTCCTGCTTGGAGTGCATTTCCAGAACAGTAACGTCAGCATGACTTTGAAACGGCTACAGCAATAACAATTTGCATATGACCCCCCCCATAACTGTGTTTGTATTATTATTGAAGATTTTATGGTAGAATGTATATACTTTCACTATCCAAATCTGTTCTGGCAAAAATGTGTTTTTCTTAGGATAATGCTAATTGTATATTTTAAATAATGGTTGCTAAAAAAAAAAAGTAAATATAATTAAGACCAGTTTGTGTTTTTTTTTTTTTATGTGTTAAAAAATGTTCTGGTTTGTTTGGATATTGGGAATTTGTACAGTAAAGTAGTGAATGAATGTCAATTTTTGATTTAGATGATATGAGTGACTAAATTTCAGTTCTTTTTGCACTGTTATTAAAGCCAAGGATGAATGTGCATAAGTGTGTGCTGTGCAGACCCTTGAGATCGGTACTTGGCCTGCCGTGCATTGCTCCAGGTACTGGCTTGGGATCCATTTTTGGGAATTCAGGAGAGTGGCCTCCCTTTTTAGCTAGCTTCATCAAGAGCAAGCTTTATTGCCTCATGTAAGTGTGATAAAGATGGTTTGTAAATCATTTCTAAATCCCAAAACAAACCTTTAACATATTGCAGCTTGCCAGTCTATGGATGTGTTGGTTTCTTTTTCTAAGGATTTTATTTATTATTTTTATTTAAACTGGTGATCTTGCCAGTAATACTCTCCCTTTCCCAGGCTGACAATGTTCCCTCACTCTACTGTATCTCTGTAGGAGAAGTGCTGTAATGCTGGGATGCTCTCCTGGTTTGAACTACAAACCGTTCTCCATTACATAGGGAGGAGAGGTTTTGGGGATCAGCTTGAAAAAGCTGACAACATTGTTTGAGATTTCAGTTTGGTAAATAGAAAGTTATAAGGAGCTGCAATAACTAAAGTAACAGTGAAGTGGCGAGCAAGTGACCAGATATGATTATTGCACCACATCCCTTAAAATTGCAAATAATCAATAGAGAAGATGGGACTTTCAGGGTGCATAGACATGAATACCACACATTAAAAGTTAGATAATTTTTATTTCATATTTTGGTAAAACACAAAGGAAAAAAAATATAAAAACAATTTAAATTCTAAGAATATCAACTGAGATTCAAACTTGGTTAGGCAAATGTAGTATACTCCCTACATGTTTTGCCCTCACGGGCTTCTTCAGGGGAGATTTTTTTGAGGAAATTTCTACCGCCAAGGCAGTCCTGGATGTGAATGCTCACAGAGCTAGAAGAAAATGACCGTTAAAAATCTTAATTGGCCTACACAACCAAAACAGTTGTAGAGGACATAATGGGCATCAGATATCATCTGTTAAATATTGCAATTCAAGTAGCAAGGAAAATGTAGGGAAAAAGCATTTTAATTGAGGATCAATTTTCAATTCCACGCCAGATATCAGCAAAGGACAAAAGTCCAGATGATATTAGCTCCGTTCAGATCCAATACAGCCTCCAAGATACTCAGTGTGCACTGGTGATTAGCAGAATCTAATCACCAGTGCACACTGAGTATCTTGGACAATGCTATGTCCCGCAATTGAATATTATTAGTGGGTTTTTTTTTTTTCTCAATACAATTAAAATCAATGACATAAAACACTAATCAGGACCTCACAGCAAGAGAATAAATTAACACTCATAAGGGAATTGTATACTGAAGCCAGTGCTGGGACCTGATCATTTGACTGGATCTGAGTGGCTTCAGAATAGATGTAGTGGTGAAAATAATTATTTGATTCCCTGTAGATTTTGTAAGTTTACCCACTTACAAAGAAATGAAGGGTCTGTCATTTTTATCCTAGCTGTATTTTAAATGATAGAGACAGAATATCAACCAAAAATCCAAAAAAATACGATACAAATGTTACAAATTGAGTTGCAGTTCAGTGAGTAAAATAAGTATTTGATCCCAAGCAAAACATGACTTCGTACTTGGTGGAGAAACCCTTCTTGGCAAGCACAGAGGTTTCTTGTAGTTGGTTACCAGGTTTGCACACATTCTTTGTAAGTGGGGAAATTTACAAAATCTGCAGGGGATCAAATAGTTTTCCCTACTATAAGTATAGACATCTTTTATTTTACAGGGTTAATAGAATATTCTTAGGCTGGGGGTAGGAGTAGACTTAGGCTTTGTTAGAATTTGACTGGAATTACACTTTAAATACCCCTGGGGGAACACAAAGATATATTCACCAAATCCCAATACAGGACAGAGGTACACAGTTCACTCATAAAAATAGGTCATGTCCCACTCAAAATTTAAACCCTTTGGTATCCTAGTTTGTAGGTTAAATATCCAGTATACCGCTCTCCTGTAAAGAAACCAGAACACATCTCACTCTGCTTCATGTACTTGCATAGCTGAAAAATCAACTCCATGACATTTATTGAAGCGTTTCGCTACATTAGTAGAATGATGTTTCCCAATGTCATAGAGCTGATCTTCTGGTATTGTTCTGCCATCATAAGGGTTGATTTACTAAAACTGGAGAATACAAAACTGGGTGCAGCTATACATGGCAGCCAATCAGCTTCTAACTACAGCTTGTTCAATTAAGCTCTGACAAAAAAAACAAAAACTGGAAGCGGTTTGGTTACTATGCAGAGCTGCACCCTATTTTCCACTCTCCCGTTTTAGTAAATCAACCCCCATGAGCGAGGAGATGGCACATACAGTCCCTTTCATTCCCCTTTTCTCTCCCACTCAGCTCCAGGTGAACCTGCTTCATGATCAGGCCATTTTTTTTGTATTCGGCACTGCACTATTTTAACTGGTAATTGCATGGTCATGAAACACTGCACAACAAACAAAATGCATCTTTTTTCACACAAATAGAGCTTTCTTTTGGCGGTATATGATCACCACTGGATTTTTTTGGTTTTTGCAATATAAACGAAAAAAGAATGAAAATTGAGAAAAACTAATATTTTTGAAAAAATCTAATTTCTCCATAATTATTGGCCAAAATGTACTCTGCTACATGTTTTTGATTAAAAAACCCAATAAGTGTATATTGATTGGTTTATATGAAAGTTAAAGAGCCTACAAATTATGGTGTATATATACACTGGAATTTTATTTTTTTTTATACTATTAATGGTAGCGATCAGCGACTTATAATGGCACTGTAATAGTGCTATGCAGGGATGAAAAATTGACAAATCACTCCCTCTGTACAGAGCTCTGTGTTGCTTACCAACACAGAGCTCTGGGCTGTGATTGCACACAGCCGATCAGCAGTTCTCACCCATGAATCCGTGGCCGAGACTTGCTGACAGGCTTCGGCTGTGTACAATCACAGTGGGTGCAGGGCGGGGGTACATATGTGCACGTCCTAAACTCGGAAGTAGGCAGTGAGCTATGGGTATGCCGCTTCGCCTACAGCGGCCACCCTTCCGCAGTACAATGTGGGCAGTCGCCAAGTGGATATACAGCATATCTAGTCTTGCAGTTTATAAACTATTTAATATTAAATTCCTTTACACTGGAAGTGAAATGAAGTGTTTTGCCTTTCTCTGTATTACTATATGGCGGGCGGGAGGTGGTTAAACCCTATAGATGGTTGTGCGTGAAAACCCCAGTAGATGAGCAGTTTTTTAAATACTCAGACCAGCCCGTCTGGAACCATGCCACATTCAAAGTAACATAAATCCCCTTTCTTCCCCATTTTGATGCTTGGTTTGAACTTCAGCAAGTCGTCTTCACCACGTCTAGATGCCTAAATGCATTGAGTTGCTGCCATGTGATTGACTAATTAGCAATTTGTGTAACCAAGCAATTGAACAGGTGTACCTAATAAAGTGGCTGGTGAGTGTATGATGCTAAATGATATTCAAAAATGTATTTGCTACTTGACATGGGATGTCGATAGCCATAAACCATCTTGCTCCCTGCACCCAACTGTTGGTCGGACCCTTCTTCAACAAGTGTGCTTTGTTTCTTCCTCTTTTCTTTCCCTTACTTCCCCTATATCTATTCTCACTCTTCCCTTTCTATTTTAACTCGCTTCCTCTTTCCCTTCCCTCGATTTGAACATCTTCCATCTATAGGTCCCTAAGGGACTCCATTGGTTACCATCAACAGAGATTTACTTTTCTTATTGAAACGTATTTTTCACATTGCCAGTTCCGGACTGAAAGGACTGCAGTTTGTATGGGATGGAGGGGGGATGAATGTATATCTTCTCTGTACTGACTTGTAATTTCTTATAAAAAAATTAAGAAACACTATTGGAAAACAAAACAAAAATGTATTTGCACTATATAAAGCAAACTCTGCTAATGCAGAAAATCTTCAAAGCAACAGATATGCAGATAGACAGATAGTGAGAATCTGCTAAGTAGCCAAATCATAGATCGCTGAATAACATGGCTTCTGAGCTGCAGATTGGAGATCTCATCTACACAGACTAGAGCAGAAGTTATGACAAGGACTTTATATTCTTTATATTTGTGCATGCTTCATGGGAATCCTAACAGGAGTACTGTACATGTAAATGTATCTACTGGGATGATCCAGTACTATAAACCTCCTGTGGTAAGAGTTATGTACAGTGATAAAGAAAAGAATTTTTGAAGAAAAATGTTTTTGCATAATGAATAAAGGAAAATATGAGGAAACCCTTCAAGATGACCTGTTGTAAGTGCAGGGATGTTGAAGGGTAATTCATGTAGCAGTTTAGGGTAGTTTTGTTAGGCGTTACTTATTCTAAAAGCTGGGTGGAATGAGCCGTGGTCTGTAGCACAAGTCCAGTCATGTCAATGTGATTAATGCTCCTGGCTTGCATAACGGCAGCTGCCACTGTAAGGAGAGCAGAACTTTTTTCACTTGGCACAGCGGTAACAGCCAGGCCACCAGGGAATGTTGGGAGGGGGGAAACTTTCATTCAGAAGATACTAGTCCATTCCTGAACAGTAATATTTTGAGTGCAATAACCATTCTCATAGTTGACCTAAGCTAGAACTTTGTGTTTTTACAGGAACGTGAGCGCTCCATACAGGGCTATTTACTCTTTAGCTTTTGCA